CTTAAGTTCCATTATAGTGGCGCATTAAATAGTCTGTATTTGAGCAATAAAGTGCGGAGTGTTTATTTTTTAGAGCTGTGAGATCAATTAGGTTCGTGGAAGATCGCAGAAGAGCTCAGTAGGTATAAATTAGCACAGATCGAAGGAATTACATAAAAAAAAGTTGAGAGAGGAACTCGAATATTATATTTTATGCGAAATGCTAATTGAGGCGTTCGTTGATTGCCAAGTGGTATTTTCTTTTTGAGAAGTAGAGTCCTCTCTCGGTGAACAAAGACCAAACTCTATAAGAGTCACTCGTTATTCCCGACCTGCTATATAGTGCAGAGGCACGGACGTTGACGACATCTGATGAGTTGATGTTACGAGTTATCGAGACAAAGGTTCTGCGCAAGATTTATGGTTCTTTGCGCATTGGAAACGGCGAATATTGCATTTTATGGGACGATGAATTGTATAAGTTATACGACCACATTGACATAGTTCAGCGAATAAATAAATAGCGGCCACACTGGCTAAGTCATGTCGTCCGAATAGACGAAAACATTCCAGCTCGGAGAGTATCCGACGAAATACCCGCTGAGGAAAGAAAAGGAAGAAGAAGACCTCCACTCCGCTGGAGAGATCAGATGGAGAAGGACCTGGCTGCACTTGGTATCTCGAATTGGCGCCAAATTGCTATAACCTCGTAAGCGGTGTCTACGCCAGTAAAGAAGAAGAAGATTGTATTCGTGAAACCATAATGTGTCCACCGAAAGATCTTTGATTGTGCCAACAGGAAATGAATTATATGATGCTCGACCTTGACTTTGAGGGAATGTGTCGAACCAACTATTAATAAAAAAAAAAAAAAAATTGAAAAAAATATTAAATTTATCGGCTTTATTGGAGCTTAAACCAAGGTTCATATTTTTGAAACGCTATCGAGTAACTGACCACAACCCAACCACGCTAACCTCCTTTACAGGTCTGGAGTTTTTTCAACAYTTGAGGTTTAGTTGAGTAACTGAACCTCTAACTTGAAAAACGAAACGTTRAAGAGAACATACTCATGTGTGGAGGTGAGTTCCAATCGTGGATATGAGCTCTTGGTGACGTGGAAACACTCTACGAAATATATAGATTTAGATTTAAAGCAATCCAGCCATATTCAGCAAAACTTTGTAGAGATATTACTTGGATTATATAATGAGCCCCAGTCGAGTACCCCTGTTTTAAAATCACATGGTATTGTCGATACGAAATCAAACGAAATAAAGGAATTCAAGCAGGTTGTAAAAACATTTATTTGGTTTTGAAATTCACTGATTGMATTGGGTCAACAACTTTGACAGCGAAGATTGCAGTCTTTGGGGGACGCGCAGATGAATAGGCAATGTGGCAGCATTGCAAGAAGTCAAAATTTCAGCTGCGCTAGGTTGCAAGCGGCTATTAGAAAGCGTATTAGATGTGTGTGTGCGTGTGTGTGGGGCATCTGCGGCACGAGCTGCTGTCTGTGACACTGTTGCCGGTTTCCGTTTCCAATCAGTGACCAGCAAGCAAGCGAGCAAATAAATACACAGGCAAGTGAAGTAATTAAATACAACAACATTCGAAAAACAAAAAAAAAGTGGAACTAACTATACAAGAAGATATTCTCATTTATATTGGTATGTAAGTACCACCCCTGTAGGAATGATGAGAAATAGTTTTCAAAAATATTTTCTTTTTTATGAATTTTAAACATACATTTTCCACTTTTTAAAAGAACTAAAAAAGCAAAGTCTAGTCCTCTTCAAAGTATTGTCCATCTGAACTTGTGGGAAGGGCCAATTTTTGATAACCTCTGTTTTTGTGAATCGTTTTCATGGCATCGACCCGAATAAATCGTAGTTAGAAGGGGCAAAAAACGGTTTTGCAATATGAGACCGAACTTTGTCAAGATGGTAGTCGCGAATTCCATGCGTTTTCTTCAATCGCTCGCTTTAATTTGACGATTTGTTGTCGTTAACGTTTCTTATTAATTGTTTCAGATGACTTTAGAAGCTCTTAATACAGCACGCTCTTTAATTCCATCAAATACAGAGGATAGAGAGCACCTTGATGTCATGAATAATCGGYTTCAGTGTTAATTTGGTAACTTGGCCAGGTTCCAC